ACTTCAGGAGGACATTGTTCTGGGTGAGCCAATCCCACCTGCAGGGGTTGTGATGTACTCCAGGCCACCTCAGCAACAGAGAGGGGGGAGACAGAGCCTGGCCTGGGCTATAGTGTAACACCTGGGACTACCAAAGACCCGGGCCTGATTCAGCTCTGTGAGGGCACACTGGGCATCCCACCACGGTTTGGAAAAGGCCCATGGGGAGGATTGTTGTTGCCAGCTCTTTCAGACCTGGAGTATGAACTGACCCCCTTCTCCTTGCCTCCATCTCCACCCTCCTTTAATCCCTAAGAATTACCACCATACCTAACACATCTCTGGATCCCCTATGGGGAGTGTGAGTCTATGCAGGGGTCTCTGGCACTGTGTCTGCTAACCCAGCTGCGTGCAGTTCTGCACCTCACCATACTCAAAATGCTGCTGCCCAGCACAGCTCTCTCAGTTGCTGCTGTTACTGGAGGGGAAGGGAGGGGGTAGCCAAAATGTGCCAGTGGAGACAGTGCCTGTGAGCCTGCTATGTCAGCAGAGAGAGCTTGCTCTTGTCTCCCTCTCTCTCACGCGCGCACACACACACACACACACGGCATCTACGTACACACACACACGTCTTACAGACACATAGATGTTTATAGAGCTCACTCAATCTTTCTAGCTAAATTCCAACTCTAGTATTTGCTTTCAACCTTCCTAAATTCACCCCACCCCAAAACACATGCACACTGAACTGGACACCTCAGTCCTCTTCACCCCTGCCCTAAACCCATTGTGTTTAGCACAGGCAAACGTACACAGTGACCCATCCCAGAGACAGCTGCATTTCCCTGGGTGGGAGGATGCAGGGAGAACATGAAGGGAAACCTTTTCTATGTAAAGAAGTAAACACCTATTCACATCCACAGGCTCAATTTGTAAAGCACCACGGGATCTGATCCTTGCACACAAAAAGCACCACGTATCAATATAGAGGACTGCGCATTGTTGTTATTAATTGCTATCAGTACAAAAGGGGAAAGGTTGAGATGTGTTGGTGCAGATTGCCTGTGTTGTGTGCCTGTGTGTGCGCATCTCCCCAACTCTGTATCTTCATGTTTGAAAGGAACAACACTGAAGCTGTTGGTTATTTCCTCCTTTGCCCATCTCCTTTTCATCTCTCTTTAGACATTTTGATTCACTTTCTCCAGTCTCCCTCAGCTCAGTCACTGAATATGGGTCTAGAGGCTAAATTTCAAAATCATATTTGAATTCAGTCACCAAAACCTGAAGCTGTCAGACAGGGCTGAATTTCAGCTGTGACCCAGGGCAAACAAACCTAAATGAGAGAAGGAGTTGGGCGGTGGGGAAGGACGGGGCGGGGGCCCACAGAGGAAAGATCAAAGAGCAAAGGGGTGGGCACAGGAAAGGGAAGAAGAACAACAACAAATATAAAACAAGGAGCAAATGAAAGGGGAATGCAAAGGGTTTTGCTGCCAGTGGGACGTTGGTTGTGTTCCAGGATTTTGTTTTAGAGAATGATTGTGTCTGATTGTGATGAGGAAAACTCAGAGATGGACTTAGTGCTTCAGGGGATGGATTAGTACAACTATTTAAGGAAGGACTGACTTGGCTTTGATTTGGCTTGGTTATTAAAGGTGGGGCAAGAGGGGTGTTAGACAGAACTCTTGACCTTATGCATCAATCCCAGGCCAGATGGTCCCCTTCCAGTCCTAAGTGCTAGGAAAACATTTGAGAGAGAGAGAGAGAGAGAGTGAGTATCTGCCTTCTGCTGTGCAGTTAATTTATAATCTTATTTTTAGGGCTAATTTAAAAGCCTGAATTTAGAGATCTTTTAACCCCATCTCTTTGGGCCAAAGTCTGATCTCCTTCCCAGCCCCTTCCTCAGCAAGCAATCCTATTGATCTAAAAGTGTGAAGTGCTACTTGGAATGAGCAAAGGTCTCCATTTCTGACTCTTTCACTAGCACACGCTGCAGCTGGTGAATCCAAAATACCCAGTCGCGCAAGATTTTCCAACGCTGACTCACGTCGCTCGGCGCTTACTCACGTGAGTAGCTCCCCCGGAGTCGTGGGAGTAAGAGCTCGTTGTCATGAATAAGTGTTGCACAATACAGCCTGCACTGTTTCCGTACAGACGTGGCAAAATCATCCTGACCATTCACCCACTGGGGTACAAAACATATTTGCTCTCGGTGCTGATGAAACAAATGCCCAAAATGTAACCAGCCAATTGCCAATAGAATTACTTGCCCAAAGGCAAGTGGGTAGGAATTTCTGCAAGGCTTCCAGCCTAGTATATATATATATTTATATGTAAATCTATATAATCGTGGGTCTCTCTCTTCCAATTATTTTATTAGGTCATATTCAAAGCTTCTTAAAGTGATATTAAAACAGCAGCAAAACAGTTTCCCTTCAAAAAAGTAAATATTTAATGAATGAAATTGACATTGATGCATTTTTAATATTGGCACAATTAAATCTGCCAGATGATTAAGTATTAATAACTCTTAATAAGTGCAATCATCACGCCTTCAAATAGAAGGAATTCAGCAGCGGGGCAAAGCAGAGTGTTGCCATCAGCATGCAATCAGATAGACAACAGCTATTGGGGGCTGCTGATTCTTTCTGTTTGTTTAAAACCACCTTGAAACTTCCCTGATGTTTAATGTATTTACTCTCCCATGTAACATGGAGGGAATGTACCCAGGCACCAGCATCGGTTTTCAATATTTTAAGAAAGTTGCTGATGGAAAACTGAAAATCTCAACCTCGATCTCTGCAGCTACCAGCTACATGTTCCTCTTCCCTCTCCGCAATATGCATTTACAGTGTTTACCCTTTCAAATCAACTCAGCATCTTCCTCTGTGGATTTTGCAGAATACTGTATATGTAAGCCTGAAATGTTTGCCAAAGTTCTGAGGTGGCAAGTCAGAACTATTGCCACTCTAAAGCTTAAAAAGAAGGGAGGGATGGCAGATTTGATTAAATGAGTGTGTGAAATTGGTTTGCCTATATTGAGCAGGATATTTAAAGCTTGATTTTGGAGGAGTGGGGGAAGGTCTTCCCAAAAATAGATAGATAGATAGACAGCCAGGCAGACAGGCAGATAGATTGAACAAGACTTTTTATGAACATGAAAGAAAGGATGAAAGAAAGGAAGTCATATGTACTTTGTTTATAAAAAATATCAACTGCACCTGCATTGTTAGTATTCTGGGTGGGTGGGAAAACTGGTCATAGGAAAGCACACAAAGAAATACTGGATGCTCAGTTACTGAACTGAGGACCAGAGAGTCAAAATGACCAGGCAGCTGCCAGCTGTGTAACAGGCATCTATCCATCATGCTAAATGCCAAGTTTCGTCTTGGCTTCCTAGAAACTCCAGGTCCTGCTGCTTCTATCTGCAATGTGGGGTCTCATTTTCTGTCTCAGAAACCATTCTGTTATTTCCATGTGGGAGGCACATATCTTCCCCTGTCCCTGCTCTGTAGGGATGGGAATGGTCTGGCTTGTTTGTTTGTTTTAAAGAGAGATCTGCAAAGAGTTTGATTTCTCCGGTCATTAATCCCTTAATATGCCGTTCTCTGTCTCAGTCCTCATCCATTTCTACCTGAACTGGAACTCAGCATTATATAACAACCTCATCTTACGAATCCTGCCTAGGATATATTGGAAAGCAAGGAATAATGTTTTCCCAGGCACACCACAGGGTATTAACTCCTCATTCAGCGCTAGAGAAGACAATCATGATTACAAGGCCTTTGCTTTGTATTCACTAGGGGAGCATCACCATACAGCCAAGCCTGGCTAAAGTTACGCAGGCATGGGGCGATTTTGTTATTGTTGTGCTTTTCCCAGAGGCTGGCTTGGCGTGGAGGGGAACGCTCAAAAACCCCGCATTGATGTTGTCCTGAAATGTACTGGCTTTCATCCCTCCACACCCTCAAAGTGAATCATTCTGAAGAGCAGAGAATATTCGATGACACATTTAAAGCTCAGCCGAGATTTGGAAACACAAGTAGCCTGCATGTGTACGCAATGCCTTATCAAACAGCGTCTGATGTGGATCTACAAACCCAGCCAGACTTCCTGGCTTCTTTCAAAAATTACACAGCCTGTTGCTATGATTTCCCCCAACCCCCAAGGATCCATCTGGTAGGCATGGGGAGCGTATTCAAATTCAGAGCCTTCCTCCAGGGTCAAGCTAATGCTGGGTTCTCAGAGAGGCTCTTGCTGTTGCTGCTCAGTTGATTTACCCATTTCTTTCTGGCATGCTGCTACTTTCCCAGCAGTTGCAAGAAGAAGTCACCCAACAGGTAAATCCTTTCCAGGACAGTTTCCTTCCCCCCACTGCTCCCCTCTCATTTTCTTCATTCAAGGAAGATAACAGCTGTCAACAGATGACACACACCATCTTTCCCTGCATGGTCTACCCCCCGCCCCCACCACTACACTATAATCCCAGACATAAACAACACCTTAGTGCTTAAAGGGCTTGTGTCCATTCAGCCTCAATCTTTCATGGTTTTCTTTCCAGCTAGGAAACCAAAGGCCGTGAAAAAGTTGCAGCCTGTTCCCCCCTCTTACCCCAGCCAGACTAAGCCAAGAAGGGTGGAGGAAGGGGAAGGGTGGGAACTCCTAGGGCTTTTTTTCCCCTCTCTATGACTTCATGGCAGATTCGTCAAGCCACGCCAGCCCTGATGGCACACGCAGCCCGATCAACCCCACAAGAAAAGTGTGAAATAGCTGGGCACACTGCTCAGCCTCCCACCCAACTTTCCCACCTCCCCCCTCAAATCCCCAGGCGGCTGGGGGGAGGGGAGGGCGCGAGCTGCCCAGCTGGAGCCGGCGGGCGCCCCTGGGACCCAGCGGGGCTGGTGTTTATGTCATGGCAGCGTGTTTCTGAATGGGCTCCCGCGCGCTCCCTGCCCAGGCTGCCTCCCCTTTGTGGCTCCTGGCGTGGGCAAGGCGGGCAGGCGGGCGCGCGCCGGGGGCCCTACCTTTGTGCATGCCGGTGAAGCGGTCCTTGAGCACTGTCAGCTCGTAGATCTTGCCGAATTCCTCGAAGAGGGGCTTGAGGTCGCTCTCCTCCAGGTTGCGGGGGATCTGCCCGATGAAGAGCTTGATGGCATCGTGGTCCTTCATGGCGATGGTGCCCTGGCCGTGGCTGAGCCCGTTCATCCTGGCGGAGCTGTTCGGGGTGCTGAACTCAGCGC